GTAGCTTACTTAGCAATTAAGGGCTTTAATTAAAACAATTGGAACTTGTAAATTATCAGCCCTTTTCCATTAAAAGGTACTTCCATTAAATTATATTATAGTACAATATATTATCTAATCTAATATAAAGTCGTGTTTCATCATACCCTCAGAAATTAGCAAGTAATACGCAATGTATTAATTTTATATTTGGTTTTTGTTCGTTCACATAATAAAAACTCTTTGTTACGAGTAAAGTCTTCAAATGGCCCTATAGTATACACGCATAAACAAGATTACTTCTTATTTCCGTAAATGCCCTTGCCAACAAAACGAAAACAAAAGAGACTATTCAACTCCTATTATGATGGCATGCATATGAATGGACCAGAAGCGGAGCAAAAGACATGTTATGCGACTAAAGAGGAATTGCGCCATTATTATTTCAGTTATAATAAATAACAGAATAAACGGATTTCCTGGTAACTAAATGTAATAGTATTACGATGTGGCCTTTGTAAGATTTCGCAATTCAAAGAAATTAGAGAGGTTTATTCAATTGTACAAATTAATTTAATTACAAAATTTCTGACGTTTGTTGAGCTGCCATCTTGCGGTGGAGCTCTAATTTCACCGCAACAGAATCATGTTTTACTTTTTTGTTGGCACTTAATTTAAATCGCATTTCATCTTGAATTTCATTGCGGAAATTGTAGGGAATGTTTTAAACTCACTTCTCTGTTCAGAATATTATAAATTAAGTTTTTTATTTTTATTTATAGGAAAGCTGGTAAACGAGCAGGCAATCATTTGACGTTTGACGCCCATGGACATCTGAAACACCAGAGCCGTTACAAGTGCGTTGCTGGCATTTCGGTAGTTTGGAATTTGAGGATTGTGGGGATTCTTGGATTGGGGAGACTGAGGAAGGGAGGTAATTATATTGGGACTCCGGTAACCTCACTCACACGACGAAACATAACGCAAGCGTTGTTTCACGTCGGTTTTCTGTGAGGCCGTGGTATCGCTCCGGTCGAGCCGGCCCATTCGTGCCGCAGAATAGCTCTCCCACACTTCTATGTTTTTATGAGGCATTTTTAACCTATTTCGTAGAACATTTGAAAGCGATAATTTAGGCTACCGCTACAAAAATCTCTTTATACTTATCTTATAGATATCTACATGTACTGTAACTGAATGTGTAGAGAATGGTCAAAGCAAGTTTTGTAAGTTTATTATAGACATAAAAAGTTTGTTACTGCCGACAGATGTCCAGTACACAAAAATGTTACATGATGATCTGTAACATTTTGTTTGGTACATAGTTAAGAAGCGATATAACTACCTACAGAACTTTCACGTTTTGGCAAACGTTTAATTACTTACAAGAGACGAGAAATGAGAAATGTTTAATTCTTTTATAAAGAATTATTAATTTAAAAATTTAATTAAAAAAACTACATAAATACTCTCTCTTTGAAGTCGGTTAATAAATATACTAAAACCTTCGCCAAAGTGTAACGAACACTTTTCTGAAAACCGCATCAAAATCGGTCCAGCACATCTCGAGGTAATCGCGCACAAACATACATACACACATTACAGGTCAAACTGAAAACCATCTTCTTTATCTTCTTGAAGTCAGTTAAGAAGTGTATAAACTTAAGTTCCGTAAAATCAGCAGCTAATTAGTCTATTGGAGATTTGACCATGACCCACATAATTATAAAAACAGAGACTTCTTGTTCGATAGCTACATTTGCAAAAAAAAAGAATAGTAAACATTCCACGATAAATGTTGTACTTCCACAAGCAGATACCCGATAGATAAGATCCTTGACCTGTATTAAAACATGCGGTACTTTTCATCCAAACAATATGGAAAAAATAGACAAATATTTGGCAAAAGGTGCTGAAACACACAATTTATATTATTATAATACAATGTCTGCGAATAATATTATCAAAACGAATATTGTTAAGATGTTGAAACGTTGCGTGTATATCTTAACTACTATCATAAAGATTAAAGATGATTGTTTGTTTGCATTCGATAAACTTAGAAACTACTGCTGGATTAATGAAATTCTTTTATCATTAGACTTTGAACAGAGTAGCATACCCCAATTTTCCATATTCAGAATTGGGATGATGACATATATTTATTTTATTTTGCCGTATAATAAAACAATACTTAGATAAAACGAATCAAAGTTTAGGAGTGAGGGCTAAAACGTCATTTCTGCGTATAAAATGTACATAGAAGTGACGTAACGCGACATTTCAAATCAATATATCGTCGAAAGTATTCGTTTCTGTAGGAAAATAAAAGATACGTGTCTAATGATTTACAACAATCTACCAGACGGACATTAAAATAAAAATTAGACATCTACCTATTCACAGGATTGACACTTGATCGATAGAAATATATGAGTGGAGTCGCGGGTGAAAACATAGGTTTATTTTAAATACAGACATTTCACAAATTTACACTGAAACAGAACGGAGGGTGCTCGACAATCAATTTGTTGAAATATTTATCATGGCCAGATTTAGTTTTACACGTCCAATTTGTTTGCTCACCTAGTGTTGTAGGTGGATGAGTGAAATGTATGTGTGAACGTGCCTACATACATACATAAATACACAAAAAGTATTACTATGTTAGTTGTTTACATATTACGTTGTTGCCAGATTATTAAAATTTTATGCAAATAAATAAATCTCATACTCATTTCTTATTGGTACTTAGATATGCCTGTTCAAGCTTGTTAGTTCCTGTCGAGATATGTAGAAGCATAACTAAGTACCGCTGTAGTACGACCGCTTTTCGCTAGTTAAGCAATTAGGCTCTGTGATAGGGGTGCCCAGCCCAAATTCCGAGCATAGACTACTTGTCTTTGTCATATTTAATATCGACAATGTACAAAATATTCATTAAGACCTACTTAATGAATTATGAATGATTGTCGGTAAGATGTGTTAAATTCAAATTAAGAACATTTATTTGAAAATATTTTTAATGTAACTCTAGTAATATAGTAGGGTAGATGCCTAATTTTTATTTTAATGTCCGCCTGGTAGATTATTTTAAATCATTAGACGCATATTTTTTTATTTTTTTACAGAAACGAATACTTTCGACTATATATTGATTTGAAATGTCGCGTGACGTCACTTCTATGTACATTTTATACGCAGAAATGACGTTTTAGCCTCCATTCCTAAACTTTGATTCGTTTTATCTAAGTATTGCTTTAATATACGACAATATAAAAAATACGTGTCTAATATTTTTTAATTACCTAACTTACGGACTAATTAGAATTTTAATTTTCATACCCAATTGTACTGACTATGATATAAAACTCTTTTCCAAAAAACAATATTAACAGGAAGATAGTACAAAGCTTTCATATCTAAATGGGATTAGAATTAAATAACTTTCGAACCAATGAACATAATGGCACATTTATGGCGTTCAAATGTGTATTGATGCGTGTTTCCGTTGATCAAATTCATCCTGTCAAAAACAGATATACAGGGGAAGTCTCAAAGCCCCGTAAAATATATTTCATTTGTGACATATGACTCGTAAATGTACGTAGCAAAGATTAATATGATGTATATGCTCTCTCCCTCTTACATATGTAGGTACAATTGCCACAAGACGATCCTACTAATGAGCATGTGGTCGCTGTTTCAATTCCCGCGTCGCGTCGAACGCTGTGTTGGTTTGTATCGAAATTTTCTATAATCTCTTATGAATGAAAATAGTCTAAAGTCCTTAGTACAATGTCATGAAAAAGAGACGTCATACAAATTTGTCTACCATTTCGAAGAGTATGTATGAGTATGTTATGTATGTTTTTTTTTAAACGTTGCCCCAAATTTGTATTTTCTCCTGTGCCGTGGGTGCGTTTACAAACATATAAGTTCACATACACATGACACCCAGACCCGGAACAACAATCTGTGGATCACACAAAAAGTTGCTCCGTGCGGAAAACGAACCCGTGACACGTTGCGCAGGAGCCGGTTGCCCAGCCACCGATGCAACCGTGCCGATGCAAGTGTTACGTGACACCTTAATATTTAAGTCCCTATAAAACAGTCTTAATATAGGTATAAATAACATATAAAACAGCCATCTTAATATACAAAGACATTAAACACGAGTGAATTAAACATTCCCCCTAATTGTGCGTTAATATTAGCCGAGGTACGCGATAAAAATTTATGTGAAAACACGTTGAAAATTTCAGTGAGAAGGCGGTATATTGCCGTTTACGGAGAGTGACGGCGTTCGCACCACGTTTGTTACCACGGGATCTCGACATCACCGCGTTCGACCAAGCGAGGAATATGTGAGGAGTGTTAAAGTGTGTGTGTGCAAAGAGTAGTGGGCATGAGGTGTCTTCAATTTCATTCATCTCCTAAGTAATGCCTGTGTGCCGTTCCCTGAGTGTTGATAGAGTGGTTCATTATCTTTTGTTAAATTATTCTCACTCCTTTCTTCTCTGCCAGCCCTTTTAGGAACGATGCTCTGTACTTTATGGTATAAGATGTTAGATAGCTAATGTTGATTTTAAACACCCTTTGTGTTGAAACGTTTTTGTTAATCTTCTGTGTTGTTAATTTATATTTGTTCTTATGCTTAATTTTAGCAAACTCTGTGTTTAATGTTTATTTATTTTAAGACTGAAATTTTTGGCTTTATTTTAGTTGTTATAATATTAGAAAAAAAATAATGTATGTGACCTATATAGGTGCAGCACAATGTTATATTTGTATGTGTAAAATATGTTTAACAATACGCTGAAAGCCCAGAAAAATATATGACTTTTATATGATCATTATTAATAAAATAAAACCAATAAATGAGAAGAAAGAACTCTCATTACATTTATCATTCAAACATAAACCTTTCATCATCACTCGAGAAACAAGTAAAAAAAGCAATTGCAATTCCAATATTCAAAAACAAAACAACGTTAAAAAAGTAATTTATTACTCACTAAACGTATTTATTCGCCAATAAAATTCCCGAACAGTAATAAAGGCGGCACATAAAGGTTGTCACTCATTCACAACACGGGAGCGTCACAAACAATACGGTGCATTACGGCGATACGTTCGGTTCACATCACTAGCGTGCGTGGAAAAGTACGGGAAAGTTGTGGTCCGCGGAGTGCGGAGGCTAGAGGCGGCGTTCGGAGCGGCGGCCGGCGCGGGACTAGAGAGGATTCAGCCCGGGCTTGCTCCCGCCCCCGGAGCGCGGGATATCGCCCACGGCCGCGCGAGGTGAGCTTACGCGCACGACCTGGCCTCGCCGTACGTACCATTCTAGCTTACAGCAATAATGTAAGACCTTATCAGAAGTTACTTACAAAGTTTATTTTTTTATTATTAGTTCAGAATTATTTTTTTTTACTTACTTTTAATTAGAACGCTAGGTCAGCTTGACAATTGTGTTAATTGATTAATAGATTATGTAGTATCTAACTATAAAGAAATAGTTATATTATACTAATTAGCTACATAATTCGCTTACAAAATCTGTAAAAATAGACTAAGTAGTCTTATAAAGTATTAATACATTATGAAAGTAAACAGCTATCATAATCTGTCTTGTCAATCTTCAATCCTTGGTGTTTTAGACCAAATACAGACTCATAAGCAAATTAAGTGTCTCTTTTTAGACAAGTCTACATAAAAGAGCCATTATAATATTAAAAGTAGTGTATTACAGTGCATTAGGAAAATTAAAGGCAAACAGAGAGGCCACATTTTTGTTATTTTGTTTTTTAAACAGTTGAGTGCAGTCGGATAATGGAACGAACTTATTTTTCGTGTAAACTCAGAATTGACTTTAACACAAGACTCGCGTTGTGGTCACGCTTGTTGCGAGATAATTGGGGATTCAGATTTTTTATGGCATAAGCCGGTAAACGAACAGACGGATCACCTGATGGTAAGCAATCGGCGTTGCCCATGGACACCTGGAACACCAGAGGACACCAGAGGCGTTACAAGTGCGTTACCGGCTTTTTGGGAATTAGGTGTTTGAAGATCGTTGGGGATTCAGGGATTGGGGAGATTGGGAAAGGGGAGGGGGGTAATTTTACTCACACGACGAAACACAACGCAAGCGTTGCTTCACATCGGTTTTCCGTGAGGCTGTGGTATTACTCCGGTAGAGCCGGCCCATTCGTGCCGAAGCATGGTTCTCCCATACTAGAAAACCTATAGTTCGCGCAAAAATTTTTTATCAACTTTATTAAAAAAATATGCAAGAATTAACTATAGGTACCTACAGGGTGTCGCAATGTTACATGGAGGGAAAGAACTTTTCTGTGGCATGATCTAGTCAATTACTATTAGGTACCAGAATCCTCACAAGCACAAAGTCAAAACAAACACAATGTATAAATAGATAAAGTCCTTTTTCCTTCAAAGAATAAATACCATAATTATCGTATCAACAAAACGAACAAAACGTGATGAACACGATCCCCATACGATTTCAAAATACATTTGATTTGGAATCGTATCATAAGTACGATCTACGCATAAAGGCTTTTATAACTTTTACACCCTTTCGCTATCTCAAATTGGGTTTTCTCGTACAGACCGCGACACATCAAACTAGACAAATCCAGTATAAACTGACCGATGAATAGCGGATAGATCACACAAGGCGAGGTCATGATAAAATGGTTTTGTATAGCTTGATTTGAAGCCGTGCGTGCAAGCTTAAGCCGATGGAACGCCGAGGGAACTGAGCTCCCATGAAACTACTCACTCACTAAGTTAGGAGACACGTACTTCATATATGAGCGAGGATTTTTTCTATCTAATAATATAATAAAGAAAAAAACTTTGATTGTATGTTTGTTTAAAATGAACAAGGTATGGAACTTTTGACTTTCAGGGGGTAACATACGTTACTTTTGGTCCCTGTATCACCACTACAGGATTAAAACCTCTTGCGAAATGCCCTATGGCTTTCTACTTTCTACTGATAGAGTAGAAAACTAAATTTATGTACGTAAATTAAAGTCATATTACCTAGAAATGTCTTAAATTCTCCATAAGTTTCCAGTATAATATTTATAAGTACATTAAATTGTAATGCCTAGTGACTCGACCCCACAGTCAAACCATTGCAACGGTTTTGTGGGGCTTAAATTATAACATTCTTACCTGTGTGATTTAAAGATAAATAAATAAATAATAAATAGATACCGAGTAATAAATAGTACATACAGTAAATAATAGCACCAACTGTCAAAAAACGACAGTTTTCTATTAATTTTGTATGAGATTGTGTATTGTGACATCACGGTTTTTTACCGTCAACAGCATACTTATTTCTTAAAAAAATCCTGGAAAAATAATAAAATAAAGTTGTTATACAATCAATTAATGAAAGTGTGATTATATTTTTATATTTTATTGTATTAAACAGCCGAAATAATTTTTGATTAAGGAAAGTAACCAATTTACTTTTCTCTCTTTCTAGACAAACGCTATACGGCATTTGGCCAGACTCAGGTCTTATTCGAAATTGATTTGCTAAATTCCACATGACTGAAGTCGCAGACAAAAAGCTAGTATAACAATAACATACTTAAACAACTCCCTAACTTATAAATTAGATTTATAACTTCTGTAGATATGAAAAAGATGTGATTAAATAAGTATTAAATGTTGTTACCGAAACAAAGTGAGGTCAGACGGTTTGACATGTGCAAAAGAATAATTTAATCAAGTCGTAGTGTAATATTAAGAAAGTGTTCTACAATGTCAGACTGAGTTTCTGTCAGTATACTTAATTGATGGATAACTCGATGTTTTTGCCAATCATACAGCAAATAAGAAATAAAGTATTATTAATGTAAAGGTTATCAAAAACTGCTTCGTTGGCTAAATGGTCGCAAATGCGACTGCCGATCAAGCGGTCTCAGGTTTAATTCCCGGGTCGGGCAAAGTATTACCTACTGAGTTTTTAAAATAAAATTCTCAGTAGTAGCATGGAGTCTGGACTTGTGCCCGAAATATGGCAATAGGTTCACCCCCTATATTACATGAGACTTATAAGATAAATAGTGAAAAGTGTGTGTTACATTGTACAGATACTCTTTCGGGGATAAAAGGCGTGATGCTATGTTAGGTTTATAAAGAGTGGTTTATAGTGATAAATGTAGCAAAAATACCACAGTAAAGATATTTTAAAAATATACGGAAACAGCTACAGAAAAGTCCAAAGAGAAACCTTAAAAAAATTAATATGTATTTTAAAGTACCTAAACATGGTTTTCTTGTTTATTTATGCCTTCCTTAAAACTCATTAAACATGTACGAGTTTTAATAAAAAATCACTCAAGCGCATTCCTCAATAAGTGTTTTGTTTCAGTTAAAAGCAAAAAACTAAACAAAAGCTTTGTTCCAGGAAATCGAGTGTCGGATATACCGCGCTGTGCTAACAAGCTGGGGTACTCAGTAAAATATGGCCGCGTTTAAATTCAATGCGTTCATATTGAACAAAGTCGGTTACAATTGGACGGTTTGTTTAAATAATATTATAGGGTCTATCCTAAATTTTATTTTAATGTCCGTCTGGTATAGATTCGTTTAAAACGTTAGACACGTGTTTTTTCTTTTCTCACAAAATTAAATACTCTCGACGATATATTAATCTAAAATATTGTGTGACGTCACAAAGGGCTACAAAATGTAGTCACGACGTAACAACCTCCCACTCCTAAACTTAACTCCATTTTATCTAAGTATTGTAACTTTATACGAGAAAATAAAAAAAAATACGTATCTAATATTTTTCATTATCTAACCGACGGACTAATTAGATTTTCAATTTTCATGCAACGACCCTATTGATATAATTGACCCCTTGACCTCCTTCGAAGGTCTTGTACAACTAAACAAGAATCACGGCCAACCCTCGAAGATTAGTATACTTTCCCAGTTTGTCCCCACATCAAACTAACGGACACATGTCGTGGTCCATCCCAACTGTAAGCGACACCCCTATACAAATACAACAAATACACACACATCAAGGATTAACGTTTACATTACATTTACGAGTCGGTAAATATATAAACTTCCTCCCATTATGTAACAACCATATTATATTTAATTAGGCCCATCAAAAGTTACTGCAAAATAAATAAAACGTGCTATTTGCTACGTTACGTAAGTTTCAATGGTAAAAGTTGTAATATTTTATTAAAATTCTCTCCGGGCGTTAGAAACTTGGCTTTGAATTTTTCAATACGCTCCGCCTGGCGCACATCTTAAGTAGAAATTAGAATATAGCTGTTCTAATACGTTTCGAAGTAAGTAACCAAGAATGCAATTTCAAGTTTGTGTGAAGGTGAGTCTACCACCAAATGATAACTTGGAGGTTTCTACGCCGACGCAAAGTTTTACGCAGACTAAAAACTTTTTTAATTATGTTGCCTTTTCCAATATCGGTTTGCTGTTCGAGCCGATTCAGCGTGTTGGGAACCTCAAGAAATTCGTTTGAAAAGCTTATCTTGTTAGATTCACTTTAATTTGGAACAATTCCACAAGTGCAAAAAGAAAGAGTAAACTATGTCGCTGTTACATTTGGATCGAATCGGGGGCGTAGCTAGTGCTAAATCTGTCGTATCAATTATAGGCCTTGTGCGTAAGCAGAAATCAACAAAAAACTTCCCAATTTTTATTTTACTTCAGTAATCACAAAAGTCAAATTAAACTAAGTATTTATTCCCACCTAAAGCATACCTTCAATAGTTTGTAGAAACTTCGAAAAAACCAAATTAATCATAGTCAAAAAATTCATCAAAAAGTTCTCTATTAAGAGTACCCTTCATAAGGGCCCCCAAACAAATTTTAATATTGGGCCCCGCCAAGGCACGCTATGCGACTGAACCGAATAGAACTCTTGTCTCTAAGATTTCATATTTGGAAATCATATGTATAATGCACCACAGAATTGAAGACAAACATGTCCAATACTTCAAGTATATTGAGAAAAAAATAAAGACACTTAAAAACAAACATTTCATAATAAAATCGTTTTAATCTCAATTAATCCTTACAAAAACCTCAATCCTATAATACAATTTTAAAATGTAATTAATGAATCGAAATATCAACAAAAACCGCAACATCATCGTAAGTAATTAAAAGAAAACACCTCGCGGTTTGAATACC